TATCTGTCAGGAGAACAATTATCATTTAACATACTTTTGTTCCTCTTTTTCAAGGTGAGGACCAAGGATCATGTATTTGATAATGTCGGCCACCTTATCAGATACCACATGGATAATAGTTTGCCAATCATCTCTTCTGGAAGTGAAGTGAGCCTTAAACAACCAGTGAGAAGAGATAATATTCCAGGACTTTTGCATTTACACAAATGATAATATGGAAATACCATCACACTGGTGATTCAAGAAACTCCATTTTGTGTCAGGACACAAGGATGATTCAAACTTGGTTTCTAGATAAAATAGAACACAAACTGTGAAGTGCATCTTTCGAGACCATCATGGACTAACGAAAACTGATCTTCAGAAAGTGGAAGTCAGAAGAGGGGAAGAGGATTGGTCCATTTGAAAAGTTATACATATGCACGGATGTCACTTTTTAAGGCCATATTGCATTGATCACAAGCTAAAAGCACAATTAAAATCTCACATGCTAAAGACAACTTGAATGAACTGCTGGGGCAGTGGTATGTGCCTTTCAACTCGATCATTAGGGACATTTTCATATTGGGGAGATTAGTTCTAAGTGTCTTCGTATTCTATAACTATAAAACCATTTGCCAAAAAAAAAAAATCTTTCCTCATTACAAAAATAAGGAGCAATTTGCTTGATGGATATTGACTTGCATTTTTCTGTTCATTAGCACTTTCACTGCAATGTTAAAATAAATTTGACATTGAATCTGGACTTTTGTCTATGGCAGTGGAATCAAATCAAAAGCCACTGAAAGCATTGGTCTGTTGCATTGACTTGCCCATTTCCTGGTTAAAGGGTTGGGGCCCAAATTGTGTGGCCTAGTATTTCTCGATTTTTGCAATTTGGACTGTTTGTATGCAGCATGTGATAAGCTGAAGAGGCCAAATCTAGTAGTCATTTCTGATTTCATCATATTTCTCCCTCCATCCCTCTGCCCACCAATAAAAGCTCATGAGTACATGGATTTAAAAGACGGCAAACAAATCAGTGCTCTTCATAATTAATGTCCAAATTGGTTCTATTACTATTTAAAATGCTGAATTTATTTGAATGGATGGGGAAATCTCCTCCTGATTGGCTGTGACTGCATGATGGTCCCTCACCTTTTCTACATAAGATCAGGCCTGATGCAGAAGGGAGAAAACATCGTGAATGAAACAGTGGGAAAGGCTCCCCACGTAGAGACGCAGTGGTAAAGTGAGGGT